CGTCATCATTATTGCAGTTATAATTCAAAAATTATATAACAGTTATTTATAGTTTTGTTAAAATTGTGATTGTCATATGATTAATTTTTGTATTGAGTAATAGAGCAATTAAACAATAAAAAGTTGTGTTCGGATTTTTTGTTCGCACAACCGCTGATTATTTGATTATTTATAAAGTAAGTTTGATTTTATAATGCAATTGGTGTTAAAAAGCGTTTCAAGTAGTTATAAACATTTGAAATAGATTAGTATAACATTAAGATTTCTTACCTGGTAAAATTCGCCTTTCAGAAAGTGGTGCAGCTTTAACATCAAAATGTAGCCAATCCGTGCTGTAAAACACATTTATAGATATAACATGTATGTATTTAATCTTGAATTTTATGTTGTCATATACATTAATTATGTGAATAATTAAATTTTAAATACATGAGCTTTGGCTATACTTTCAACTTTCATTCAGTGAAAAATTATTAAAAATAATTTATAAAAAATTATAAAATTATAAAAATGTTTTGGTTTGAAGAACAAATGATAGAAGATATTTACAATTTGATACCATAAGATTACTGCAAGTTAACAAACAAAGTATATCTGTATACAATTAACAGTTACGAATTGATAAAATTCGAACATAAAATCTTACTTTTGAACATTAGATTTACGATCCCTTAAGCAATACTCAGAAATTATTTTTGCTAGTGTTTCTCCTAATTATGACGTCTTTATTTTAATCTTCTAAATTTATTATAGAATCATTATGCTAATGATACTTGGCTAGAAAAAGAACAAAAATTTTGAGAAGGCATTTCTTTTCGTAATAAGTTTTTGTTTTGAAAGTTTGGCACACGAGTTTCACTCGAAATTTTACTGTTTTTTTGTTTATATTGAGTTAGCTGGGCTATCCTGTCACCTAGTGGCTAGAACCATGCACTTCCAGTCAGAATTTCCGAGTTTGGTACTGGCCTCGGACAGTTTAAAGTCAAGCAGTGGTGAAAAACTTTTTCCGGCATTGCTTCATTAATACAAAGTCATTGATGTTTAATAATAAATTCATCAAAAGCGATAGACCAAAAGTTGGATTGCCATCTCTAATTGCTGTTAACAATAACGATGAAATAAATTCTGGATTAACCAACTATCAATGAAAATGATAACGAAATAAATTCCAGAATTTGGCATTGAATGTCGTCTACCGAAGACAGAAGTACAAGCGTTAGAAAGTACATGTTATACGTGCGGAGATTGCCGCGTCGAGCGCGCCGAAGGTAAAATAGATAAACTGTTGATGGTTGTTGGACTTACGATTGTATGCATGACATTGTCAAGTTGGAGTTCAGATAACAATGGCTACAGTCAAGTGCGATTTCGAACCGATCGCTGACATTTCCGTATTGTTACCATTATCATATTTTCCGAAGTAATATTTATGGGCTTCGAAGTGCATGGCGCGCAATTATATATTAGGCCGGTCCGGCAGAGAAAAAATATACATAATCATTTTGATTCGAAATTTGATATAGCAAAGCCTATATGTTGAATTATCCAATTGATTTCACGTAGTAGTCCTTGAATATTAACAAAAATTAATAATATTACTATTATTTTTCCAATTAAAAATAAGCCCTTTTCGGGTACTGCGGTGTAAAATGGAAATGGGAAAACCTCTCACACTATTTTTTCTCTAAATCGAGTTGCAGTTTAACTCATTATCAGCTTACGGTCCTAACCTAGAAAAGTATTTGTCGCAAACTGATCAAATTGATGGTTTGCAACAGTTTGAGCCCGGAGGGTTCCAAAACTCAACGTCAAGCCGAAGCGAGGTGACCGATGAAAAAAAAATACCCTAATTGTTTGCAAATTATAAGCTTTTAAGTACAACTTAAGACTTTCGTGAAATTGTGACCATTTTTCGATTATTGTGGTTAATTTTTATTAATATTTTTATTATTAAAGTTTGGATCCGTAATCGTGAATAACATTTCTACGAGCACTGTTAAAAATAATGTCCGAAGTTTTCAAGGATTAAATCTTTTTGTTAAACTATGAATTTACAGTTTTTAAAGTGGGTCGACTTTAAGAAGTCGTTCATTAAAAAAAAATTGCTAAAGTGTGTTGACAAGTTTCATCAAAAGATGGGGCATTCATACCTATAATAAGTCAATCGTCAATCATCGAACCTAGAATAAGTCAATTATAGGGTTGTTTTCTAGCCATTAATAAAAGTAATCATCACAGCTGATTAAAAACAAATATGCGCATACATACTTTAAATATATATATATATATATATATATATATATATATATATATATATACATATAATTTATGCAAAACTTGCACAATGTACAATATTCCTATGAGATTAGTCCAACAATTTGCGATCATCGTTGTCTTCAAGACAATGAATATGCAATCTGCATTAAAGAATTCTAACAATAATATATTTCCCATAGGAAATTAATATCATTGTTTCAATTTGCAATAATGCAGTTATAGATCAGTTATCTTCGTTTAGTAACGATAATTGAAACAGAAAAACACGCAACATGCAAAGTATTGTCTCAGAATAGAATTTATGCACGGATTTTTATATGAAAATAATTTTATGTGGCTGATATTTTGCATAACTACAGCTTTATTCAGTAATAAAGAAATTAGTAGAAGAAATAAATATAAGCACAAGGTAAAAAATTTTGAAGATAATTTGGCGACAAAGTAAATTAGAGACAGAAGTCATATATATATATATATATATATATATATATATATATATATATAATTATTTAAAATTAGATAAGGTAAATAAACAAATAAGAAGACTTGTAGATGTTCGGTTTTGTGCTCGTGTAGAACTCTAAATATTTAAAGAGGTCCACCACCGATTTCTTAAAAACAAGTAAAGTTAAGAATTTTCAAAAACACATATTTCAACGTTTTACGAGATTTCAATATAATTTAAAGTATAAATTTAAGTCATAAGATGTATTGTTAATTATAACTTATTGTTAGATTCAACAGATGTTTTATAAATCAAAAATAGTAAATTAAAAACTAAATTAAGTTAAAAAAGCAATTTTACTAGAGATAAATTAGTGATTACAACTCTGTTGATAAAAATTTCTGACGAAATATCTGATCAAGTTAATATACATTGCTTTCTCTGTAAAAAATGGAACAATGGAAGACATTGGAAAGTTTGTCCCCTGGACGTCCCATTTCACCCCGCCTAAAGGGTAAAAAGAAACAGGTAACAAAATTATTTCTTCAATGATGAATTAGCTGAAAGTTTTATCAAACATAGCCAGATAGATGCTTGTTTGATATGTGTTATTATTGTGATATAATTAGTTTGGTTTTTATATTATAATAGTTCAAAGTCAAACGGGACCTTTGTGACCCGA